CCCATCCCCCGTCCCCTGCTCCGCCACTGCCCTCCGCACTTGCCTTTGCCCTCATCCCTGTCGCTGCGCTAATCGCCGTCCATGTGCACAGACCTGCCCCACACCGACCGCGACTCAGATCCGTGGTACCGACCCACTATGGGATGAAAGTGCGCTGTCCTTGGCCAAAAGTCATAACTCGGTAATTTGAAGAGCAAATCGACTGAAATTTGGTTTCACATGTAGACATTAAGAAGATAATAAATTTATCATATATGTTGCAAAATCAAAATGGTGGCTCACGTTAGCGTACTGTCTTGAGGTGGGAAGAGATAGAAATTAAAAATGAGTATGCAAACTTTTGCCATCAAATTATTCACCTGTATTTTCATTTAATAAGATTTCATCTTGAAATAGACATCATTGGTATTACTAATATTAAGTAATGTGCACTGCAATCACTAGAAATTATCTATTCCATAGCATCCTCATTAGATACTTCAACAAGATAAGAAATTTCATCAATTTGCACTATGTGAATTTGATTCTGGTGTAGGGCAAATGAGCATTTTGATTACTTCAAGCGTAAGTGTCTTTTTCTTATTAATTTGAACTCTCTTCTGTAGGCTGGCTGTCAAAATGATGGGATCGGATGTTTCCAAAGTTCTGTTGAAAATATCTGTTAAGTTGTGGCATCTGCTGTCTTTCCTTGCGTGCGTCTCTCTGTCCTTTTTTACAATATATTTCTGGATTCTGCTTCTTACAGACATCCAAGTGGCAGAATACTACGCTGAAGCACTGTCTGACAGGTCCATTACCGTATGTACAACCCCGAAGCCCCGCGAAGACTCCTGCCGTCGAACCTCATCGAAATTTCACCTCTTGGTCCTTTTTCTACTCAATCTTCCGATGCTTCTATATGGAACGCTTTTCGGCAATCTAAACGACGCTGCTCCGTGGGAAGTTTTCTGACTCTTTTCTTAGGGTTGACATACGTTAGGATCGTCGGTACTTTCGTTCCGTTTCCTCAACCAATGCTCCCGACCCCTTCCTCGATCTCCAATTCATCTCCTAACTCCCGTATCTCCCGGATACTCTCCACCATCTACCCCACTCTCGCGACGTATCTCCTTCTTCGCAATTAATCCGATGCCGCCGGCCCCTGGACAACCTGGCTTCTCATTCGACACATTGCTGATCCCCCGCACTCATTCAGTGATACGAATAACAGCCTACATCCGCCGAACGCGAGCAATCTTTCTTCCCCTCCACCGCCGACCGTATTCAGCCTTCTCGGTCTGTACCCTCGGTCCGGTATGTTATCATGCAAAAGCCGATCGTATTTTCTATTGATGACAGGTCATTAGGAAAACTATAGGTTGCGATTTTAAAAACAATTCGTTTGTTTCGTTTAACATATAGTACATGATATTCGTTACATGGAATTTCTCACAGCTTGTTCATTCACAAAATATGTTCATCTTGGAACCTTCTAAATGCCTCGGAATTAGTTACTTGAATCCCGAGACATCTGTAGAATAATTATATCTTGTTTAATTGAAGGTCGGTGAATTCAGTGAAAGACAGTTCTTAGATCCATTACGTTCGTATACCGCATGATTAACAGTTATTTTAGATAAATGGAACATATGCAATGTAATTAATTTTGCCGAAATTGATTTATGTTTTCACTTGATTGAAACGCATAAATATACAGGTCGGTAATAGTGAAGAGTCTACATGTTAGCCTTTATTGCGAGGAAGTAATTTTGTTGAAAAATTCGACTTCAACGCGTTGGTTATTAATATCGATTTTAATAAAATTTTAATGAACGTTAAGTGATGGAACGTTTTCAAATATTATTTAAATATGGGACAAAGTTTAGAAGTTGTTATTCATCTATTTGTAGTAAATTCTCATCATTGAATTACGCAGGTTTAATCATTTTGCATGATTTGTTCCTAAAAATACCTGGCATGATTTTACATAAAACAATATTGCATTTTCGCAATATTGAAAGTTCAGATAGGTTTTACTGTTTGCTCGAGTTGACAGAGTTTAATTTAATAACAATGAGAATTGATGTATATCTGATTGATTGCAAAACGCCTTTTTAAAATTTCATTTATTTTGTTTCTTTCGCTATCGCGAATTTTGCATTGTTTTGTTAAGAAAATCACTTTATGATAATTCACCGTTTCTAAACCAAATTAATCAACATTAGTTACGTATACTTAACGATAACACACATTAAAAACATCGTTAGTAAAAAGTTCTGTTCGGTTTCATGAAATGTCCCCGTTTAAATATTTTCTAGAGCAGCCCTTGCGCCGCGCCGCCCTGCGCGGCTCGGAGCCGTCGCTCGGTCGGCGTAAGGGAGCGCGCGTTGCCCCGGCGGAGACAGCCTCGGACTCGCCCTTCAGGCCGCCCGCGCGGGATGGGGTGGGGGTGGGGGAGTGGCGGCGGCGGCGGCGGCGAGCCGCCGTCTACCCGCGCAGCCTGTGAACCGCCGCCGCCGCCGCGTCGGCCTGTGGCAGGGGCGGCCCGTGAGCGCAGCGGGGTGGCGCGGCGGCGAAGGGGAGCGCCGCGTGGCGAGTGGGGAAGGGACGGCCGGAGGGCGGGAGGCGCCCGGGACAGATCGATGAGAGCGGCGCCGTCTCGCATGCTCTGTCGGCCGGCGGGCGCTCTTCGTGCCTGCCGCCGCCAAACCCTCCCACGCCCCGACCCTCCCGCTTCGCTCGGCTCCGAACCTGCCGCCTCGGCGCTGTCCTGTCGCGCGCACGGGCTTTGCCCCAAGGGCCCGCCGCTACTTCTCTCCAGTTTACGAAATCTACAACTATTACGTTCGGAAGCTTAATGTGTTTTCAAATAATAATAATAATAATAATAATAATAATAATAATAATAATAATCTTCAATAATAATAATAATAATAATAATAATAATAATAAATGAAATAATCTTCCACAATTTAATTCTAGATGATACCGCTGAAACTCAACTTGTTTGAATTTAAAGACCTGCGTCCTTGCTACGTTGTTTTTTTTAGTTGTCTCGATTTCACTAAAAAATACTCAATAAAAATGTCATGCAAAGATAAAATTCTGATTTCAGTGAGAAAAAGTTAGTTTTCAATAATGTACTTGTAAAAGGTTGTTTGAAAACAGGGTGAGGCAGTGAATGGCTGTTTTATGATGTAGTATATTATTCTCAATTAAAAATGAAATGATACTCTACTCGAGCAGAAACTTCAACAACAAAAACATGAGAGGCGTTTTGAGAAAATTTTGAAGGTGTGGTGGCTTAGGGTATTGTAACCCCCAAAATTGAAATATTCGTTACAAATTACTAGAACTAAGGCATCAGCCACGTCGATTGGGAATATTAGTTTTGGTGAAAGTCCAGTGTAAGATTCAGGCGCTAGTGTTGTTTACTTACACTCGTATACTCATCTGAGGAGAAAACACGTTTTCAGTATAAACGTGGTTTCGAACTCCACTACAAATTGGAGAAAGTAATTTATTTTTAATACATACAGAAGCAATAAAAATCAACGTTTTCGATTTCAAGGATCCGCAAAACGTGTTTTTCTGTCGCAAATTCTGCATTGTTTCTTGCTCTGTTACTTAACATTATCTTTTTCCGAAGTAGACACAAGAAAGAAGGAATACGTTAGCTACGCCAGAAGGTGCGTGAAGTTGACACCGCCACCTTGAAGCAAAATCCAGTGACATATAGCATTTTTTCGCCCAAGCAGTAAAAATGTGTGCCCAAGTCACTAAAAACGGAAATCGCAAATCAAAATTTTAGACTTCAAAGTTCTTACTTGCAAAATTTGAAATTTTTAACCCACTATCGTTCAGTTCAAGTTATGCCCAAGTTTGACCATTCGTTACAATGTTTTGCCCAAGTCACACAAAGCCGCAAATCGCAAATTAAAATTTTGGCTTTACCTTACCGTAGCTCTTCCACATGGAAATTTCGAAATTTCGTATTGATTTGCTCACGATAAGCCCAAGTTCTCCCAGCACTTGAAACGTTTTGCTTCCCTCACAAATCGCCTGAAATCGCAAACTAAAATTTTAGACTTAAAAGGAACTAGCACTCCCACTTGGAAAATTTGAAATTTTTAACACACCATCATTTATTGCAAGTTACGCTCAAGTTTTCAAAAGCAATGAAAAGATTTTTCCAAGTATCACAATACCTGCAATCGCAAATCAAACATAATTTTATTTTGCGATTTCCAGCTTTATGTGGCTCGGGAAAAACTTCGTAAAAGGTGGGCAAACGTGGGCGATGGTGTGTTAAAAAATTCCAATATTTTGCGAGTGGTGGTGTTAGTCACTTTTAAGTTCAAAATGTTTAATTTGCGATTTATAGCGTTGTATAATTGGACAAAACTGAATGCTGTATTGACTTTAGCTAATCGCGAGTAAACCGATGGCATGTACGGAATTTCGAAATTCTTATGTGGGGGTGCTGCAGTAAATTTAAGACTAACATTTTGATTTCCGATTTCCGGCTTTGTGTGACTTGGGCAAAACTTTTTAAAGTTATCTTAAAACAGTTGTCTTATTGAAAATACTAGTATTGGTCTTGTGCAATTTACGTATGATACTTGATGCATACAACAGTAAAACATTTATATTTTGCGAGTATGAAGTATCGCAAATAAGAGTACGTACACGCCGGCTGCATCGGATTCGTTTTCCCCCACCAACACAGCCTCGCCCTCCTCCACACACTCTGCCCTCAATGGCTTCCTTCGCCTCATTGCCTTTGCACTACCGCATCCCTTCCACGCTCGGGACCCTCGACGTTTTCTCGTTTCCGCTAATTGTAATGCAAGTTTCTCTATCGCTCAATTTGATAACAAGAGTTATCGTTTTCTGTCTCCAGTATCCTGGCCTTCCCTTTTCTTTACACATTTTCTTTGAAATGTGTGTCTTCCTTTTTTGTTGTTATCATTTCGTGTTACTTTATGTAATGTCCTTTTTTTCTATTTAAATCTAGAAATAAATTATGAGTTAAAAAATAATCTGTAATCCTTTTAAATATGCCCCTTTTCACGTTCCACGTTTTTTGTATGCTACTTGGTCTGCATGTTCTATCTGTTAACTTTCAGCGCTTGACCATATTACTCGCACTTCTAAAATGATCTCTTTATACAGCTGCAAATGTAAATTATGACGTTTCGTACTCTCTACGCGCCCTGGAGCAGCGTCCTGGGATCCAGGCTCATTAGGTCCGTCCATTATAATTCCGGGAGTAGACTGCCTCTTGCAGCCGCCGCTGCCCACGCCATCCCCGCAGACCCCTCCGCGCCTCTCTCTGTCGCCTCTTACGTCTCTCATGCCGATGGAGCCGCCGACTCCCACGCATGGGCGGCAACTGCGACGCCGCGCCAAGAGCAGTCGCCACTGCAGCCGCTTCCTCTGCCTCTGCCTCTGCCACAGTCTCTAACACTGCCACTGCCTGTGCTAATGCAGTGCTGTGTAATGCAGTGCCTGTGCCAATGTACTCCCACAGCCTGTGCCACTGCTACTCACACTCCATTGAAATAGACACTCTCACTGCCACATTCTACTCCCTCTGCCACTGTCACGGCCACCCCTGCCACAGTTGCGGCTGATGCTGTGTTCCCCACCCCGCCGCCGCCACCACCACCACGCACCACCACCGGACCCACCACGACACCACGACGCACCACACCACACACCACCACGACCACGCACGACTCGCCACGACCGCACGACACCACGACACCACGACGCGCCACGACGCACCACGACGGCACGACGCCACGATCGCCAGCGACCGCCCGACCCACGACCGCCCCGACCGCCACGACCTCGACGACCGCCACGACGGCCACGGACCGCCACCGACCGCACACCGCAGACCGCACACCACGACCAGCACCACGACACCACGACCACCACAAACCACCACACCACCACAAACCCACCACAACACCACAACAACCACAAATACCCCAGATACACAACCGCCACAAACCACCCACACCGTCACCACTGTCAGGCAGCGCACAGCAGCATCCGTCATTGGCGAGAGCCTGAACGCTATGGCAGGCGGCACAGGAGTCCGGCGCTGCGCCGCCGCGCCGCCTGGTTCGCGCCATAAGAGCGCCGCGCTGTCGCCCGCCACTTGACATCCAGCGCCCGCGGCGCCGGCGCTTTCGGGCGCCATTCCGACGTGAGAGCAGGGCGGGTGCCCCTTGGAGTGCGCCCGCGCACCCGCGCTCGTCGCCGCGCATCGGGCCACGCTGGCGATAGCCCTCCTCGCTCGTGCCCCGCGCCGCCCATGCGCCGGCGCCGGCGCCCCGCAATGCCAACCGGCCCCACGCCGCGTCGGAATGCTGGAAAGCGGAGGCATTTATTGGAGGGCGGAGAGGAACCGAAGCGATAGCGGGAGCGACGGCGACTGAGGCGGCGACGCGCCCACCTGTTCTCTCAGGCTCTTTAGCAGAGCCACTTCCCAACCTGTGCTCCGCGGGCCGCAGACGAGTGTTGCCTCTCGCCCGAGCCACTTAGTGGGAAAGCAGTAATTACAGTAATGTAGAGCGATGAGAATTCCCGTCCCTTTCTCCATGTGGATGCTAGTCCTGTCGCTGGGACTGACGCTGCCTTTGACGCCCTGTAGCAGAAATAGGCATATACAGGCAGAAGCAATTTTTATAAGAATGGACCGTTTCGACAGCTAGTGCTAACAGCTAGCAACATGACTGAACGTTCTGTGGTTGTGTCCTTCAGCTCATTTGACTCTCCTTCCTTCATTCGTTCATTTGCAGTTAGCTAACTTGTAAATGACTCCGACGCTTTCTTTTGTGATGTCCTCGTCCGCCGAAAATATTGTGCGCCACGAGAAATAATTGAAATTAGGAAGTGCAGTCCTACTGTGTAAACATTACATTGAATTTATTTTTTGTTTTATAAGTATTATGTTTATTTGAAAACAGTCTTGACTGTGAGAAGCGTAAAGGTGCATGTGTTTCCTGCTCCTGTGCACTAAGGTGGGAAACTGTGATAGAGAACGTTCCGTGCTTTGCGTTTTATCAATTTATTTTTTGATATAATTACACGGTTGTGAACCATGAGAAGCCATGATGTCTTAATAGGAGCCGTGTACTGACATAAACACTTTACGAAGAGGCGTGGCTGAACAGCTGTTGCGGTGCAGGGGATACTTCTATGAATTACATGTGATGTTCACTTGTTTAGTGAACTGTCAGTTTGACTCTGCAGATTCTTCTATTATGATGCACATTTTAAAATGAAGCTTGTTATTTTGCAAGAAATAAACACTACGGAACGGATCATTTACGGTAATTAGTGGCAAAATAAAACCACTTCGAGAAAGTATTCACCTCTTACACTCAGATTTTCATTTTTAAACGGTCGATTTCTTGTAATGCATTCGATTCGTTTCGTACAGCACTTGAGAGGCTGCATGTCAAGTCATTGTAAACAAATCCGAAGTTGATTAATTTCGGTATAATCCTAAATTCGTGGAAAATATTCTTACGGAAAATGTGCCAGTAGTGAGCACTCAGAAATTATTGAAGCAGCGAAAAGTACTGTGCTGGAAATGGAACTATAAAAGAAATGAGGAAATTACGATAAAACGGGTGGTCTTACAAAAGCACATCTCGTATTATTTGTAACGGATATTTTAATACCAGTTGAACCGTTTCGAAAATTTGTCACTTTTGAATCCGGTTTCAAATCCTATCACGACTAGTGACGCCATATTTCACTTAATAATCGCTTGATTGAGTGAATAGATACATCATTAATTGTTTTCAACTAGCAAAATACTTTTTCGGGTCGGGATTTGATCAAGAGCGCAGAGGTACAGCAAAGTTCTTATCAATCAAGGCGGTTCCACACATTCGGCATTCGCCCAATCCCAAACATCTGATGTGTTCGGCAAATGTTCGCTCCCTTTGATGAGTCTTAAAGACCGACATGCGGTGGGTAGGGCGAATACCAAATGTTCGTCAGTCCTCGGGATTCGCCGAATGCCGCATGTGTGGAGCTGCCTTTATACTACAGCGCTCGTTAGAAATATGGAAGGTCGCGATGTATCCAAAACGATGTTGAACTTCTTCAATTTTGGAATAATTCAACTCTTCATATTTCTCCCGTAACCATGATCCTGTCGATCCAGATATGTTTTATATGGAATGAGAAGGAATTATGTAAAAGGCAATCGGAGACATATTTAGTTATTTAATAAAATACACTCGAACCATTAAAACAAGTCAAAAATAATTCAAACTGTGGAAACCGGAATGCGATCAGTGGTTCAAATTCTCTTATTTTGATGAAATTTATAAGTTTAATACAAGACATCACCTTTATAGATTAAGTTAAGAAGCCATAAAAATTACAAGGTAGTTACAATTATACTGCAAGCGGTAAGCACTAATCAGCAAGCGATGGGTGACAAGTCGAAAACTAGAAAGTTTTTAGCGTCCAATTTATGTAGCAAAACATAAAATCTGTATATATCACAGAACTGGGGAGGTTTGAAATGCAAAGAGATGCTAGTCTAGCGGGCCATAAAAAATTGAAATTATTATTTACCTTTCTGTCTACAGATTTTTCACCTTTGCCAGTATTTACTTTATAGTCTGGCGTAAAGAAATACCTGTTCGTGAATGAAAAACATGACAATATCTGCTCGTGAATTAGTACTTTAATGATTAAATCACAAACAATTTACGAAATGGAATAATTAAAGCGTCTCTCTCGGCATCAGAATAGAAATGTGCTTTACGGTGAACACAGCCATTTTCGCTAGTGTATTCCTGCAAATAATACGATTGCAGTTCCAAGATATGACCGTGTAGCGAGCTGGAGCAGCTGAAGCATTATGTGAGGCTTTGTTATACGTCACGGTGCGGAGGGCGGCGGGTTTGTGGCCAGGCGCTTCCCCGACAGACAAACGAAGCCGAACCGCGTGGTCCTCAGTGTGCAGGAGCAACAATCGCTTGTCAGCCTGGAAGACCAACTTCTGCCACTCTTTAGGTGATGGCGACCGAGACGTCGGCACTTTTGCCATGGACGCGGTGTCACCCGCACAGCCAATTAAATACTGACTCCGGCCGCGGAAGCCTAGGATATCACATGAATTCGTTTTAACCCTCCGTCTGAGAGGGATTTCTCTGACGGACATCGTTGGTCGACGTTGAGTGGCGTGTGTGTGTCTGTACCTACCTGTGTGTGTGCCTGTCTGTGTATATGTGTGCGCGCGCGTGAGTTTGTACACACATACACAATACAGCAGTGTTTTAAATACCGAGAATCTAGAAAAAGTTATAAGAAGAAAATTATAAAGAAAATAATATAAGAAGAAATAAAAATGGAAATGATTTCGGAAACGAATGTTAAAAGTTCGAATTTTACTGAAGTAACAAAGGAGGAGGACAGTTCCTCATGGACGGAGGAACGAACAACTCAGGGACGAAGGAACAACGGGACGGAGGAACGAACAACGGGAGGAATTAGAAAATACGGAAAGATAGAAAACATTTAATGCGGTACTTCGTTAGCCAAAAAGTGAATATATAGTACGTTCACTGGCTGCAGGCAAGGGCACTGTTTACGTTCACAATAATAATTATTAATTACAATACTAAATTTTAGTCGTTTGTCGAATGCGGGTTTACTTTTCGCGTGAGTGTTACGTGATTCACTTCGCTAGTCGATACGCTCGATACTGACACGCTACTGATATTTTTTCTGCATGGTCTTCCGTTTTAAAAGAGTTCTTTGAGGACATGTGACCATCGCTGAGGGACTTGTAATTTTGATTCTGAATATCATTAATATGTGATACATGAATTGGTAATACAATAAGTATAGAATACTTTATCATGTTATACGATTCTTATCTATTTGTGTGTTACTTGATCACTGTTTTTTGTTTACTTTCAGGTAAGTCCAGAAACCAGACTCGCTAGTGTGCCTGAATTTCATGTGAGTACTGAGGCACTGACTCTTCCATGTGACGGAACGTTTCTTTGGAGCTTTGTTAAATTAACTTGAATTAATTATTAGCCCTGGTAGTTAATTTCGGTTCATTCGGAGGCAGTTCAGTAAATAATGTGCGTATTTTGTTTGGTATATCCGTATTTTTACTTATCCTGCAAGTGTTGTTGATCCTTCTCAAAGTAGTGCCCATTACACATAATACCCTCGTGACAACGTTTTTTCTAGTCTGCGAGAACATTCCGGAAGACATTTTTTGGTAGGTTCTTCACATTCAACTCCATAGCATTCGCACGCCTTCTGATGACGAGGTGGGTTTTCCGCAAAGTTGTTTCGTCACGTTGGGGGGAAAAAGTCACGTTGCGTTTTGCGGGATATTCAGCAACAACATATTATATTCTTAACCTAACCACATATTTAATATAAGATATATACTCGTACATAGATTGGAGGACTGCTGTGCGTATGGATTGCTGATCGTACTCAACAGGCAGCCGACGAGAAACGAGATTAGGGAAACGGGGGCAACTGCTGCGGAGCGTGTGTAACTCTGGAGGGTTCAGGGACTGCGTCGAAAGCTGTTGCTGACTGGAGAGAAGTAGGTAAAGGCATGATTTTTTTCGTATAACAGAGCTATCGATGTTTTAGTAAATTCGTAGTTTTTTGACGAACTGAGTCTGGGACTTAGAATTCAATAAAAATAAAATTTCCAGATAGTGATTTTAAAGAGAAATGAACTTGACTATGCAATAAAAGCAAAATTACCCCTAATTTAATAAACATTTTTGAAAACTCTTCCACGTTCTCAAGTGTCAAAAATCTAGTATGTATAATTCAGTTTGATTGGATTCTTAGAAATTACTCTAATTTTCATTTACTTGTTTCAAAACGTTTGAACAGAAGAAGTGAACTTTATTTTTGTAATAAAATATTTATAAAATCAAAAATGTGCATAAAATATTTTCTGACACTGCCCTTGACACAGGCTATATGCATCCATCATCATCATAAACTGGATTATATACATATGATTACTTATTGCAGAAGAAGTTTACACAATTGTTAGAACGATCTTTTTTTGGGGGCGGGGGTGTTCTCTCACAATGCAGGAAAATGTCCCATATCATTTCATAATGCATCAAAGAAAAACCTTCCGGAAAAAGAATCGTGTCCATAAAATGTTCCTTATTAGATTTCGGAGAAATTTAAAGATTTTGTATAAATGAGCAGTAATTGAAATTTGGAAATAGCTTTGTTGCGAGTTGAGTAGAAAGATTGCTTGAAGAATTTGTTAGCAACGGGACATTATTCTAGAAACATTGACCATGGAGTACCTATTTTTTAAAATCCCAATAATGTTTATTATTGCATTTCAAGAAAATGCAGACAATGGTTCTATCCATTAGTTATCCGAGGAAATATCCGAGAGAGAGAAAAAAATCTTAAAAAGCAAGTTTTGCTCGCTATAAAAAATTTCAAAATGTTAAATGTATAATATGATTTGAACAATATTAAGTTCAAACTTCGGACTCTCTCCAGTTAGCTGTATGAATATTCTACAAAGTTAGGTTCTGTTATATCGAAAGTGTGTGGGTATGAGGAAATTCAGCCATAAGCCCCATACAGCCCAGCATCTACTATTTTTTTTTGATTTCATAGGCAGATGAAGCCACCATGCACATGTATGAGAATACATAAGCGGAGAAAAAGATAAGATTGTTTAAACTCCATGAGAGCTTAGTGCAAGAAGGTGTTAAACTCATAGTATTCATTTTCACTTGAGAGGGGGCATTCAACTTTGTTGCTCTCGCAAAATGCGCCTAATAAAGGAAAGTTTAACCTTCGAGTTAGCTTCTTGCACGAACCTCGTATGTAGATAATTCATTTCGATCTGTTGCTTCACGTTTATTCCTTAACACCTTAGTGAATGTAGTAGTTACGATCCCGCCTTGAAAGTAGTTCTCTGATTCGACTCCGACGGTCGCAGAATTTTCGGTACCAGTTAAATATCTCTGTCGAAGGCGACCACTCCATGGAGGAAAATTCTAGAGATGGCTGCTCTGAACGGTGGTTTCCGTGGTTTCCGTGGTTCCCTCTGATCTATTCCAAGATGGAATGCAATGGACCACAGACTGCGCGCGAATGCATCCTTCCCCATCCAGTCCTCATGCCTATCTTTCACTGATGGAGAAAATCTAGCAGGCGAGCGTCGGGGATTCGGATGCAGTCGCCAGCTGCTAAACCCCTGAAACACTAAATATACGTGAGTCATTGTGGAAAAAGAAACACCAAGTTGCGGCATGGATCTTAAAGAAATAATAAAAATTATGTCTTTAAGATCCATGCCGTAAGGGGCAAAGGCGGCAGCATCCGCGAGCAGTAGGTTTGCTAACTTCAAGAAGTCCAAAGGTGGGAATCTGTAAAAAGTGGGTATCGATGTAAAAAAGGAGATATTTTTATGTAATTAACTAAAAACAAGTAAAACGTTCAAAACGAATTTTACTAAAAATATTTATGTTAATAATTTTTGGGTGTCCGGGTGACGCCGCGGCGATCATGTGATGCCGACGTTTCGACTATGGTGTGTTGTAGTGTGTCTAAATAAACACAATAATATATAAATCCAAGCGCCGATCCATTATACCGTACTGTAATCTGGAGTCAACTAATAGAAAATATAATAAATCCAGAAAATCGTAGCCATAAATTATTTTAAGAATACACTGATCAAATTAAAAATTTTATATTTGTTAAAAGGTTGAGATGTTTTTACCAATTCAATTTTTCGCCAAAACGACTCCTAAGTACTATCCTTTTGTATTATTTTACCTTTGCGGTTTGTTATTATTCTGTTTGAAAGATAATACACCACATTTTGATGCATGCAAAATAAAAACTATTTTAAGCTGAAATTTACGTACTTGGTTTTATTTACATTGATAATTATTTTGTTTGCGAGATACCAAATCCTTAAGAGATCAAGGTCTTCCGTGAATTCCATATGGCTTGAATGCCATGTCATCAGCAAAATCATTAACATTTCCGTGAAATGGTAGCTCAAGTAAATCATTAATGAATACTAAAAATAACGTAGCTGATAGTACAGATCCTCGCGGCACTCCTGACTTCACGAGGAGAGGGCTACTGTGGTGATTAGCTATTCTTATTGTCTACTTTTTTAAGAAACTTTCAAACTAATCGAGAGAAATACCTCTTGTCTCCAGATAATTCCAATTTGGACTGCAAAATATCATAATCTCCAAGGTCAAAAAGTGTTTTAAAATCAAAAAAATCGTGACGATTTGCTGCTCGTGTTGAAATTATAATTAATTTTCTGTGTTACAATTGATAGGGTATCCTCGGTTCCTTATCCTCATCTACAAGAAAATTAAAATTTGCTAAAAAAATGTATTCGATCTAGGCATCCAAACTGGCGTCGAATTCGGCACAGAGGGCAACCAAGGAGTCTTGTCTGGAGCAGCAATTGATGCTCACGAAAAGTCTATAAATGATGGTATGGATTGAGAGTGATATGGTGTCCAACTTATTCTGTTCGCTGAGTTGCCTAGTACCATCATGGAATATTTTTTTTGGAAATGTACATTAGCGTCAGTTGGCTGCAGAAACAAGGCTTTCTGTATGTAACCATTATGTTCGGTTGCATGATGTAAGATTTGTATCGTGGTCGTTACAACATGAGCATTAAATGAGAATTCAGTCGGTGAACCAACGGTCACGCAATGGGAAAGTTAGCTACAATATAAGGATGCAATATCCAAAAATAGTTTAGATTTGTGACACGTCAAAATAGGAATTTTACAGCAGTTTAGCTGATAATTTTTGTTCTGCTGTAATTCATTAACATACAATTGTTTTTCGCATTTGTTTTATAAATATAATTGTTTTCGAAAATATCACACGTTTTATAAAGGGAAATACGTTTTGCACGGGTGAGACAAAAGATACTATGACCCGATTTACAAGTTTCTTTCGCCGAACGATTCCCATAAACTTACGTGGCGCAGTGCATCAATTGGTGTCAGATACTCTGACCGGTAGGTCCTTGGGTTCAAGTCCCGGCGGTGGCAGGATTTTCAACACTAGCTGCAGAGCTATGTCGAGTTCAGTCGCTATCTAGACGAGAATTCTAGCGGCTGCCTGCTCCCTGTAGTTTTTCCTTGTTTTTCCTTGTAGTTTCTCCGTTCAGCACCAGGCGACTGCCGGAGCAGTATCCTATCAAATGGGCCACGGACCGCGCGCGATCTTTCCATCTTCCTTGCCCAATTCTCACCTCTTACTTACACACTTATACGTACATACACTGCACTACTACTCATGCCGGGAATCCAGTCGGGAGAGTAGAGCTTGTCTCGGGTGGGGCGGTGACCAGCTGGTGGGAGATACCTGGTTGAAGAGAACCGCCTCCGCGATTAAAACATGCACTGCACTTACGGGGCTTGGTTGAAGCGCCCGGAATCATTAATCTGTTGAACGAACGAACGAACGATTCCGTATATTAAGAACCAGTAAACTCTGTCAGAGCCAGCGTCAATACGATTGTTTTCTGGTCTGATCAGCCAAATCGATTCAATGAAAATATACGGACGTTAAGCAGCGTAGTACCATGAACATAATTGGCTTTTAAATTACAGTTTAAAAATACACCAAAGAAGAAGAGTATCTTACTTTTTAGGGAAGATAAAACTAATTTATTGTGCGCGAGATAGAAAAGACTATTTCAAGAGATGCTCAGTGGATCAGAAGGTTAACTGGACGAACCCGCATTGAGAGGATTCACGAGCCTGACGTTGTGTTCAATATGTTTCAGATGCAGCCATTTAATTAGCAATATTTGCACTTGAGTTAGAATGGAAACAGATTTGGAAACTTAGTTTCAAGTAATACGAAAAGAGGCAATGTAATCGTGCAGCCGAATAACGTGACAAGCTTCAGTGAGGAATTTATGAAGGGGATGCAATGAACTTCAGATTATGCTGCATCCATTTAACCATCTACCGAACGGTGAACGTGGCCCGTCGTGCCACTCAAATGTGGTCAATAAGAACAATTCTAGTAATAACTAATTTATTTTTTCCGAAAAATTAATTAAATTTCGCATTTGTTAAAAAAATAGGCTACATTATATANATATATAATATGGTCTTTTCCCGGTGTTCTAAAGCAGACTTCCGTAGCCAACATGTCAATAGTTGTTGTCATCATTACTTTACATGATCGATCTCTTATGTGTTAGGTTAATATAAATCGTAATGCTAGGAATTTCGTTTGAAGTTTAATCGCAGACTTGTATGGTCTGTTAAGTCAGATGCGTCCCATGAATGTAAACATTTGGGGTGCTGTTTTGTCTTCTAGTGAAGTAGCGTTTCATGGAAGTATGACATTTTCCTTAGGATTCAAAGGAGTTAAATTACCAGTGGACTATCATATGATCCGTTAATATTTGAAAATAGAAAGAATAGGAAAGAAAGCGTCGTTTTTTGTTTTTTTTAATTTCCCTCGACTTGTCGAAATTGTACTGTCTTGTGAACCTCGTGTAATCCTACTTGTAAAAGGGGAAACGTAATGACTGAATTAAAGTGCTTGAAAAATTTCGTAAGACGCAAGATCGCGCGCTTTTCGCAAGTCGGACTCGCTTCAGAGTAAACAAGACGAATAAATCTGTCATGCTTATGTTTGAAATCTCATACCTTTCCTTGCAAGAATGCTAACCAAAAATTCGCATTTCCCGAAGAATGTCGACACAATAATCTTAAGTCAGTGATATTTCTCTATGTAAATTTATTGATGTTTTTGAAATAAACTAAGAAATTAAACATCAAAATAAATTCGTGTTTAAGAGATTTTTTCACTTGGGAGTAATGACCTAAAACCTCTTTCTGTATCGTAAAAAAGGCTATATTTTAATACTTTCCCTACTGTGGATGCAGTGTAGATGTAGCAAAAAACTCTAATTTTTTACTTTGTGGTCTTACTTTGAATTAAACGAAGTATTGTAAACATGTGTCGGAAATCGACCATTTTTCGGCAGATGAACTCATTGCCAAGCTGAGAGCAAAAAATAGAATAAATATTTTTCCTACTTGTTGTAAATTACTTCTTCTATCACGTTAAGTCAAAATCCATGTTTTGGGGTCCCTCATAGCAAAAAGTCATCTGGCAATGTAAACTTTTTAGAAAATAAAATTAATTTTCTCGTAATTTTGTGCGAAATATTGGCAAGTTTTAAACATTTTCCTCAAAAACTACACCATTTTTTCTGTAAAATTTTCCCTCATGTGTTTCAAAAAACGATAAAAAATCAGTGTGGGTCCCATTTTCGGAAACTTTCTGAATTTTTGAAAATTGCAAAAAGTTAACATTGCAAAAGTACAATATTTAAGATGGAGGTTTGTTTTAATCAAATCTGTTCTAAAAAGTAAGATCTTTAAAAAAATCATGTACAGTTGTTTGAAAAACTTAGTATTTTGCGCGTAAATTCTGCTTAATGTTAATGCAAATTATAAAACAAATTCTATAAAACGGCTTCAGTTTTTTTCACTGATTGAGCGAAGGACGCTTAAAACCATGGAGCAGATTTAAATTTGTTTGAACACTCTGAATTTCAGAAAATTGAAAAAACTTAGAACTAATTCGAGGATGTATTGTGATGTAGTACCACTCG